CCGATGCTCTGTCGATGATAGACTATTTAATGTTGTAGGGTGTGTTGCTATCTTTTAATTTCCATACGTATTTGGAGAGTACGGTGCTGTTTCTGTGTTTGGGGGTGTTAAAAGTGTATTTGTGGTTTCTGTATCGGGTTTTGAACGGTGTGTCAGTGTCAAACAATGTCATCATTATCATTATTACGAATAATCAAGATTGCTGTAGAATGGACCTCAAGGATGCCGTGATAGATATTTCGTCAGAGTCGAGCTTCAATACGTACATCCGATGCGGTGAGCCATACTCCGAGAATGACGTTTACAATGGCCCAATGATAGACAAGTCATGTTCAGATGCAAGTGGTCGATATGTCAGGATAAGCAGTAACGTATCACCAATACAACTATGTGAGGTTCAAGTGTTTAAGTCAGGTAAATACGTTCATTTTTAAATTATACATAAGCCTCTATACCTATATTTGCATTAAAATAATTTTGGCTACTGGCGTTTTCCGACATGATGGGCAGATAAGGGGTTGTCTTTCATATATCAGCCCACTTCGTGGACATAAAAAATACCCAGATCAGCAATTACAGCCTAACAGGATTCAACAGATTGTTATAACAAATTTCACATATTTACACCATTTTCATTTCTTGTTATTTAAATTTATTTCTTTTTTCTTAAGAAATGGATGTGTGCTCCTTGGGAAATAACTGTAGCTTCACAAATGGTCTATGCGTCAATAAGGGAATCAGCTACTACTGCGATTGTAATCCGAATTATTATCTCCACGATGATGGACGCTCCTGTGTAGGTACGATTATTTCCAAACCAACGATAACAACAATTTTTCTAAGAATTTTAATTATGAATTGTAATAATTCTATAGGATACACGACCTTAGTGAAGCGCCCACACGAAACGTGAAGAGACATTATTTCAGGGAAGTGAGATTCATCACATAAGTAACATTAAATCCGATTAAATTTGATTGGATTTTGTTTAGTCGACCAGCACGAGATATGTGCATATTAACAATAACTGTGTTTTATGTAGTAATTGTAACCATTCTTAAATTATCTTGTATTAGGCGGTCTAAACAGCTTATGCGAGAAACCAGTATCCCAAAATAGGATGAACATAGTTATTTTCGTCATCCACTCAGTGGCGTATCTAGAAGTCTTGAAATTGGGGTGCTGATAGAGGGGGGGGGGCGAAGGTGAAGGGTCGGGGCCTCGATGATTAGTTGAGGGGCGCTAATTCGCAAAATAAGGTGATTTTATGTGATTTTTAACTACTTGCAACCGTGATTTTTTTAGGGGGCGCTGGGGGACGCTGGGGGCACGTTAATGCCAGGCGCCGGAGGAAAAAAATGATATGTTGTACAAAAAAAAAGAAAAAGGAGCGTTTGACGAGAAAAACTCGGGAACGGTTAATGAAATACATATTTTGAATATTTAAAAACTGGGGTGAAAACAAGCGTGACTACCTCTTAGTTTTTAAATCTTTAAAAA